ATCCCGCACCGGCAGGGGACGCCTATCGAAGTAGTACCAACCTAAGAGAGGCGACATGTGGTGCTCCGAGACTCCGAGAATCCTGGTGCTTCCTTCGAGCAGAGATATCCGGAGGGGATCAGCTTCGTATTATTCTAACCCCTTCCTCCCTATCTCCCATCTCTCTCCTCTCTCCTCTCTCCTCTCTCCTACTCACCCAGCATCCCTCGCTCACCCGCTGCGCGCGATGACAAAAACTCAGGCTTAACTTTGTCGAATTCCCAGGGTTAACCCTTTCCTCCCTAACGATCCGCTCTCACGATTTACAGAGAGAAGAAGAAGGACGCAGGCGCGTCCAACTGCTCCTCCTGGATCGGCTTTGCATCTCCTGAATGTCTCCTCCACCTTCGATCAGGGCGCCTCTTCGTGGCAGAAGAGAAGGAATCGACGTGACGTCATGTGTCCCGTACTCACGTCGGATGCTGGTACCAGTCTCCGAGGTAACGCAGAGACCAGGCAGATCGGGAACCGTCCACGACCTAACCCCGACCGAGCCATCACGTCGCCAGCATCCTCATGGCTATCCGTCGAGTCGCTCCATATAATTTGGAGCACTCAGGCGACCCTGAAACGAGCGGGGTCAACGCCATATTTGTAATCTTCGAGACGCCGGCGCGACCTGTTCGCACGTTGTTCTAACCCGTTATCCCACGAGACGACGACACCGACGACAAGGATGACAAGGATGACAAGGATGACAAGGATGACAGGCACACACGCGAATTCCTGGTGGCCGATCTGAGCATCGGTGGTACCGATCGCAGATTGCCCTTGGGATTAGAAGGTGGATGCTGGACTCGGTGCCACTATCAATGCACCCAGATGGGGAATCACGGTAGAAAAGTGAAGAACCTTAGCGAAGCGGATGAGAAGATAACCGAATAAAATGCCTCCTGGTTGAGCTCGTGTCCCACACTTCATCCGCAGCATCTTCTCCGCATAAGACCAACAGATGGCGGTCCGGCCTGAAGCCCTGGAGAGATTAGATGGATTTTTCATAGGCAGAAAATCGCTCTCGCGGCTAACAAGCGCCAGATGCAAATCGGCCATTCAGCCTCCGGAGTATCCCGAGTCTCCCGTTTCTCCCAAGGCGACGTGTCTCGTTGCTCCTCGCGCACGAGCAAGCTCAGAGGAGGAGCAGGAAGATGCTGAGGAGCTAGGTCAAAGTGCAAAGTATACTTATAGTGATCCGCGAGCAGGAAGAAAAATGGCGATCACGCCCACTCTAGCTGCATGTCCCATTGGAAGAGGATGACTCCTCGATCCTTAAGCCGGGTACGCACGTGGTTATACAGCCGGACCGCTAGGCAGGCATATACCAGAGACCAGGGATATTATCTTCGGGCTAGCAGATAACTAAAACGCTTTTGACACCTCGGCGCGCCGGGACATAAACCGTTGAGATACGAGGGAGCGCGTGATGGAACGCAACCTGGTCCCTTTGAGCTGCTTCACTAGTTGCACCTACCGACATCGATTAAGTCTCTCCGCATACAGTAACACGCATTGCCCATAAACGGTTCGCTGCGTATTAACCTCAAATATTATGATACCACCATAAGACACTTCTACCTTCTCCAGCCATGCTCCTTTTTCATTATTTCTCATCAGACCCCGGTCTCCAGCGTTCAAAGACGTCCAGCTGTCCAAGCTCTAAGGTAATCCCGTCCGAGGACCAATCGATGTCTCCTGGATAAGAACCGATAGCCGACCTCTGACCTACTCTTACAGGTAATGACCTCGAGGAACAAGATGCTGCTATGTTTTTGTTATAAATGAATTAGATAAGGTTCAAGAGGTTCGATATCGGTTCGCCGCACTGGAGGTTCACGTACCGATCTTGCGGCTGCTCCTCAGGTGCATCTACATATAGATCAGGATAGACTGGCAAATGCGCGCACTTGGGCGAATGGATGGGGTCGCGACTCCGCTATGAAAACACTTTATAAATCGGCAGGATCCCCTGGTGAAGGCGCGCTTGTAACTTGTACAAGATAGGAATCTACCGCGATGTAATATTTAGCCGATCGACGCTCCCCATCTGCCGGGAGACGCGAGAATAAACGAGGGACTCACGAGAGCCAAGAACACGGCCAATTCACAATGGTGTCTATTCTAAATCACCCGGGGAGAGTCCTTGCGTGTGCCGTATAGTCACGGTAGCTGGAGTCCAAATGAACCTGGCCAATTTTATGGTTCTCGCACGTTCCGCCAACCGCTGAAAATTATATCGCAAGATCAGGACTATCGATATCCAGGTATACCGAGTCCTCGTTTTTTTGGGATCACTTAAAATTTCCCCGACCTTCCCCAAGCTTCTGGTACAAGATACCCAACGGCGAATCCTCGGTAGGAGAACTAGTCGTAGAGGCAGAGCAGAGCGCAGAAACAAACAGGCAGCAATTTATTGCGCGATAAACAACCCCAGGTACTCCCGGGAAGCCGAGGACGCCGACGAACCTGGGTACAAGTTGCGGTGCGCGAGCGAAAAGCGGCCGATCGCGTCAGATCGAGACCGCCATCTTGAGAAAAACTAGTAGCGGTCCCATAGATCTGCCCGCGGGACTCACCGGCGACGGACTCCTTAGCACGTACGCGTTCGCCTTCTTTTTTTTCACTCGGCTCGTTTTGTTTGCTGCGTGTCACCGATTCGCTTCTACGCGGGGGGCTTTGCTAATAAGCCGCCCAGACTTCTTCTCCCGTCGCATTAAGCCGGTATTACACGGGACGACTCGTTCCCTCGATCGAGAGTCCCAGTGACGCGTATAGCTACAATAGGTACACGAAGATTGCGCGACGGCAGTTGTTTCCATGAAATTGGAAAACATTCTATTACGTGGATCGGGAGGGAGACCTTGACAAGTGGTGCGCATGCGCGATCGTCTTATCTCAATCCCGGCGACGCCGATCTTTTAGCGGCGGGAATATAAAGCGGCCGGTAATCTCGGGAACAAATTTTGCACGTGGCATGTAAATGAATGGGAATTAAAAAAGATTCTTATAAATTCATCCTAATGGTATAATTTCGCGATTAATCATTGTCCTGTACGAATCCGATAAAGTTACGAGCGGCCCCGCGTACGCTCGCTAATTATCCCTCTATTCAGGAGCTCAGTGTGGCTACACACCGGTATGGAATAACTATTCGCTTTCTGTCTCGGATCATTTCCGAATCGTTAATCGATCCGAGTGCCGATGACAGACGGCCACGCGCGCACGGACTCCTCGCTCACGTTCCTCGGCGGCCGAGGCGTTTAAAGGCGTCTAACGATTTCGCGCGTACCGTTTCGAAAGCAGCGTGGGATTCCAAAGTCGTTACGAACTGTGTTCCACTGGGCAGCGAGCCGAATCGAGACGGGCGCTAATCTCGATCGAAATCGCGGCATTCTAAATCGTACCGAAACGTGGCTGATCGTCGCCCAGGAAGGCTGACCGAGGCTGATCGTAAAACTAAGGTCTCTCCCAGGAATTCACACGTGGCCACTCGTTGCCACTAGAATTCCGACTATCGCTGCTCTCATCGAACTCTCGAGCGAATCGAACATTTTTTTAAGTCCCGTCCCGGTTTTACGCCTTTTCCAGCAAGCCCAATAACCCCACGTGGTCGCGCGCAGCCTCTTTCAACTCCCCGTCCACCTGAGTCCTATCGATCCTGACGCGAGTACAGCCGCCTAGTTGAGTGCAGCAACAATAATGAAACGGATGTTAAATTGGCTGATAGTGGCTAGCAGGGTAATTGGCAAAGAGGTCTCGATTAATTTTCCACGTGTTATCGACCGTAGGAATGAGAGCCTCTGTCGGTGTCGTACATTAGAAAATATTCAAATGGAGGACCCGGTTTCGGAAATACCATTAGTTACTTAGGCATTCGAACGGCGAGCTCATTTACAACTTTGTTAATTCCGTAGGAACGGCCGCGCGCGGAGTCGGATGGAGGAGGTGGTCCATCCGCTGGTTCATTCGTATGTTGGTACGCCGCAATGCTGGACCAAGATAACTGTCTACCCACGCTTGCGCAATTCAAAGAGTCCCACGGAGAGCAGAGGCTGCTTCCATCTCTTCCTCTCTCGATCGCTCTCTCTTTCTCTCTCTCGCGCGGCCCTGTCGTCACTCTCCCTGTCTCAGGGGCGGGGAGGGGGGGGGGGGGG